TCAGCAGAAACTCGGGATGTGGAAGGGGCAGAAGTGGGCGAAACAGCGGCAGATATACCCCGTACGCACATGTGTATATCTCAGTTGCAACATTGAAAACAGTTGCAGTGGCAACTACAGCCGCAGCAGCAGCAACATCTAGCTCAGTGGCAACAGCAACGGCACGAGTTGCATCCCTGCGGCAACTCATTTTATGGCCGCCTCGAGGACCTGTCAGCAACAGGACCCTGTTGCAAGTTCCGGTCTGCGATCCCTGGCGAATGGCCACGCCCACAACGCATGCGCAACAAACTAATCATGACACCGTTTTTCAGGACACAAGTGGACATTGAACGCAGCAGCAGGATTCACGCTTCTCGATTTCCCATTCTCGAATCCCGAATTCCCGAAGTCCCGACTCTGAGACTCCTGCCATCCGATGCGCGTTGCGCCTGCCTGATTTTCAATTTCAATTTGGACGATAAATGGGCACGGCTGGCTGGCTGGCTGGCTGAGTTCCCCACTGCACTCCCTTTTGCATCCTGACAGCCCCGAAAAACCCCTCTTGCAGGACGAAAAGCCCTATCCCAGCTCGTTTATCATGGACGCATATTGCTGACCGCAGCATGTAGCTAAATTTATGCTTAGGCTGCCCACCCGCTGTCCACCCACTCAGGCCACGCCCCCACACCCCCACCCCACCGCTTCCCTTCATTGTGTTAAAATTTGATTCTTTCCCGACTCTTTGGTGGGATGGATATCTGGAAGTGTTGATGAACTGCATAGAACTATATGCAGATAGAGATGATGAATTCGAAAATATTTCAAATTGCTGTACAACAACCTATTTTTGATAAGCAATAACATATAAATATTATTTTAGAAGATGAAAGCCGATTTAATAAAGAATATGTATGTTTTTAATACAATTTATTACAAGGAGTATAAAAGTCTGACAGGCTGCAGTCCAAAACTTTACAAAAATTATTGCCAGCAATAAGATTAAATCATAAATGAAACCACAATTCAATCAAATGAAAAGAATGCTCCAAAAATTTAACTCTGGTCTTGTTTTAGGTTTAAAAGAAATGCATTTATAGGGACATACTTTATTGATAAATCTAAAGTATTGAGTTCATTTTGTTTTAGCGCTTAAAGATCTTTTTAAAATCACTTCTGCATTGTATTATGACGAAACTCCAACTCGTATATGTTGCAATCTGAGAAATAAAATGCACTTCAGCCAGCATGCAACTACTTAAGCTCACAAAAGATGAAAAACTTCTTTAGTATTTGATGGTTGAATTTAGTGCCCGATGCACTACAAGCTACAAGCTTCCCTTTTCAGATACTTTAGGGTATTACAGCTTCTTTATGGCAAACTTGGAGTTCTGCAATGTTCGAAATTCTTTCGTTTTTTTTTCGAGTTCTTGTCCCTGCGACCCTGCCACCCCTTCACCCCTCCACCCATCGTCCCGCCCGGCATGTCATGTCAGCGTTGTCATTGTTGTCAGTGTCATCACAGCAGCTGAAGCTCTGGTTGGCAACACCCCCAGGACCTCCTGCTCCTGCTGCTCCTCCTCCTGATCCTCCTGCTCCTGGCGGTGGCTTTGCGGTCGCCGTTTCCCATCCGCTATTCGGCCATCGTCGTCATCGTCGTTCTGCTTGTCATTAGACTTATGTCATTGTTCAGCCAAGTGCGCCGGCGACGACGACGACAGCAACAGCAGCAGCAGCAACAGCAGCAGCAACAGCAGCAACAGCAACAGCAGCAACAGCAACAGCAGCAACAGCAACATCAGCGATGCAACTATTGTGCCATATTTACTACAGTCGCACTCGAAAAAAAAAACAATCACAAAATCTAAACTAACATCTTAATAAGAAGGCTTACAGATATTTAGAGACTTACTTTAGAAAAGTTTAGTTTTTTTTTTTAATGGAAGGATTGTATTTCATATGTTCAGTTCAATCAAAAGCCTTACGAAATTAAAATTTAAACTAAGTTTTGTATAGATAATTTCATATATTGCATATGCAGATTACTGTTTACATAAAAATCTAATTTAATTTCAGCTGGCATTTCGATAAAAAAAAAACTTTTTTAAGAGAAGATAAAACTTAAAAATATTATAAAGCATTTGAAACTGTGAAGTCGTCGAGGGAGATATATATTTGGATCCAATAAAATTAAATTAAAAGCTTAGCATGGAAAGGGCAAAGTTGATGGACCCATTATTTTTTTCAAGTGTTGCTTCTGGGCCTGCAACATGTGCAGCTTGCCACGCCCCACGCCCCACTCCGCGTTCCAGTGGCGGCAATGGATGTGTATGTGTCGCTTTGCGTTCGCATTTTACGTGCGCGCATCTAAACTGACATTCCAATTATTCTTATCGCATCAGAGGAACATGGCCCACAGACCCCGCCATCTAACCCCAGCCCGCAACCCGGTTATAAATGGCCCAGCGTCTTTTCAGTTCAGCTAAGTCAGTCATTCGGCGGGTCGGTAAGTCATTCAGTCAGTCAGTCATTCATTCAGTCAGTCAGTGAGTCAGTCAGTCAGTCAGTCAGTCAGTCAGTCAGTCAGTCAGTCAGTCAGTTAGTCAGTCAGTCAGTTAGTCAGGCAGTCAGTCAAGTCGGAGTCAAGTGTCCTCGGGAGTTCATTTCGCGGCGTTTTGATGGCATTTTTCATATTTCCCTCCATACATCCCGACCCAGCATTGGCCCCACATAATGGCCGCTCTCGAAACTATTTAACTCGAGGTTGGCCAGTGCGGAGCGATGAGATTGTAATGCTGATAGGGCTGCGAAGTAGATGGCATGCCCTGATTTATGTCACTCGAGTCTCTTCCAGATTCCGACAAGGGTTATGAGCAGCCCGACTGGCGGGGCACGGAACTTCTCGGACTTCTCGTACTTCTGCGACTTCTTGCAGTCATTCGGGAACTAACGACACTTGGCAATCACTTGCAATCACTGGCAATTTATGAAGATCACTCTTTTGAGTGGCTTAAAACTGACCTTAATGGTCAGCAGGTTGTTTTAAAAATATATGAAAAGTTAGAAGAAGTCAAATGTTTTCACCAAAAAGTTAAAAGCTAACTGCGTTTATTTTTGATTAAAGAACTTAAGGTCATATTTATCTCTATATAAAAACCACATTTAAGGTATACCTAGATAATTATTTGTATAAAAATACAAAATGAAAGAAATAAAGAATTAAATTGTTCCAAATATTGATAATGACATTTTGAAATCGGTTTTTAATAACATTGTTAATTCGGAGTTAAAAAGGATTTCAATATAAACATAATTTTGTTTATTCCAGACGAACGATTTATTTATTTATTTTGAACAAATTCCAATTATCTCAAGCCCAATAGTTGAAAACAAATATTGTAACGAATAGTAACTATGTGAATGAAATTATAAATGCTAATTACTTCAAACTTGAAAGGTGAAAAAATCAATAGAACGCAATGTAACCAAAATGTATAATAAGAAGATTATTTTCTGTGACCATCGAAGGGAAAAAAATTAAAAGGGAGGGCGCATAAAAAATAAATTTAAGTGGGTGAAGCCGTGGCGCATTTCATTATTATTTCATTAGACAATAACTGGTGACCCTATCGACCTGTTGAATATAATAACGCTTATTTTACGGGACACACGTAAGCCGGACCCACTTCCGTAATCAACGGGGTCACCAAAGCGATGACCCAGTTCGTTTAATCGTTAGGCGTGGAGACCTCACCGAAGCTTAATTGCCATTCAATTTACTCTACTCATGCAACCTGGTGGTCGACTGCATTAGGGAGCGTGCCCGAAAGTTATGTCCTTCCGATTCGTCACAAAATTATTGATTACTTTCCATTTAGCGCTTGTCATTAGGCTCCCAGCATTTCCCTGACAATAGTCCGCCCTTTGATCTTTTCGGGGAAATCGGCTGGGAATGGAAATGGAAATGGGGTGAGCCCAGAAAACGACACGAAAGATACGAGAGCACGAACTGCGCCACGAATAGAAGGGAAACCGGCTAAGCTGACTTTAATCAGACCAACAATTTTTCCTCGCTTGACATTTTATTGATTGCCTTCAGTTGACTTGAACATTAATTTCATCAAAGCGGAGGTGATGGTGCGGTGGTGACCTCAAAATGCTATTAAATGTGGGCTGGATGGCTGCCTTTGGGGGAAACAAAGTGAAAATAAATAAATGTATTAAGCAATCAAAAGTCCCCTGTTTTTCTTCAGAGGTATTACTACCACTTTTCTCACCCCGCTGCACAGAACTCATTTAAATCGTATTTGCGAAGGACGCATCTATATCCATCCATCCATCTATCTATCTATCTATCTATCTATCTATCTATCTATCTATCTATCTATCTATCTATCTATCTATCTATCTATCCATCGACATCCAAGTGCAATCGCACTACTCATATTTTAACGAGCATTGTGTTATGCTTGTATCTTATGGATACTCGTACACTCGGCGTTCACCTGCAGTCGTCTAAATCCGCGAACCCCGAATGCCCCAAGCCCCTCAACCCAATGCTTTTCTGCTCAATTTGCAATTTGCGATGCGCTGAAATGCTGCTCTTATTCTATTTCTATTTCGCATCCAATATTATTCGCCAATCCCACCACGCCCCCAATAATCAAAGCACGCTTACGGCTTGTTATTTTAAATTTCAGTTTATAAAATAGATGGCGGAGTAGATGATTTAAAACAATTTCAGCACGGCATGCTGCTGATGAAGCTGCAGTCGCGGATGCCCGGGCCAACGAAATTGTTTTTACGTGCCGCGCATGCAAAAGATATTCCGGAGGGGGAGAAGGGGGAGAAGGGGTCTTCATGGTCTTGGCATCTGGTGGCTGCGGCTCAAAAGCGCGAACCCAAGTCCCCTGGATCGGGTGTCCCTAGTCATGCCCAAGGAATGCCTCGAATGCCATCTGGGCTGGACCTCAATGGTCCACCAAACACGTGTGGGGGGGGATTGAAATAGTTGAACTCACCTGCCAGCAGACACAACGTTCCCAGGAGAATTAGCCAGTGTGTCGACATCTTGGCTGGAGTACCTATATTTGGGGAATTCGCACTGCCAAGTCTGTTTGTCAGGAACTAGATGTAGTTTATGCTAGCTGAAATTGAAAACGAAAATGGATTAGTTTAATTGGGGTTTTGTTTGGCACTTTAAATGTAAGCATAATAATTTAATAGTCTTAAATTATGATATTTACTTTGCAACTTTAGTCGAACTTTGAATGTCCAAAAATATTCAGCATTGAAGTTATTTTGCAATTATGGACTTATAGAGGTACCTAAAATAACTTTTTATTAAACTATATTAATGCACACTTTTTGGCGCCTTAACAATTTCAAAAACTTTCTGTTTGCTGTAGCAAAAGTCAGAATTGTGGCTTTCCCGTTTCAAATATTCATAGTTAATAAGGGCCAGAATTGGCTTAGTTGGACATGCAGTCTTCCAGCAAAACACAGGCTCAAAGTATACCTAAAACAAACTCTCGGCCAAATGAGCCCCGCAGCGAAGTGCAATTAAAAGCAAATCATGACCTACACAAACAGCCGAAAAGTTCATAACCAGTCGAAACAACACTGTCGGCAAACAAGCTGACAAATGGACGAACAAGCAAACAAACAAACAAACAAACAAACGAACAAACAAACAAACAAGCCAGGAAAACCGCAGACAAAAGTGTTGCCCGGAACTGCAAAACCGAAGCGCAACATAAAAATCCACTAAGGCAAATTGGTTTTGTTAACCAGCACAATGGACACATTAACATCGCCCAGGACCCACAGGAGCGTGATATCCTGCAGGCTCCAGGCGGCTTGCAAAGGATGTGTCGGCGACGTCGACAACGGCAGGCAACAATTAAAATTTTTGCAATTCTGTCGCAGCTCCCGGAATATTTTTGCCCACTTCACAAATAGCAGCGCAATGCGCGAAATTGTTTTTATTAAAATGTAGTACATGCAGTCGGCGAAAAAGTGTGGAAGAAATATGTGGCAAATCTTAGGAATTTTAAATAAACTTATGTATAATTTTGTTATTGTATTTTATCAAAATTACTGCACTTTGATTTTTATGTTGCAACAATATATATATTCATTTCGATAAGGCATTTATTTTAAGTGACTAAAAATGACAAAGGGATGTTTTTTTTATAAATTTATATTTGGGAAATAAAGATTAAATTGTTAATTTAAATTAATTGTAAAAGCAGACAATACTTGTTGTTCCTTTTCTTAATTTGCATTAACATACAAGATGACTTGGACCATACATCTCGACAAAGCAATTATTTTTAACAATTAAAGGCGATCCTGCGTTTTAAAGACAAAATTTTACTTTATGGTGACTATTCGAATTGGCGAACATTTTCGTCCACTTTTTGGAGTGTAATAAAGGGAAAACGGTGGAGTGCCAGGGGATTTCGGTGCTTTCGTTAACAGAAAATTATGGACTCTATCTTGCTCGGGGAGCATTGGCACATTTTAGAAAGTTTTTTGCTCATTACATGGCTTGATTTCATTTAGTTGGGTGGGGAGAGCGGGGAAGCCCCGTAAATTAGATGAGATAATAAGCCGGCCAGGCTGGGAAGCCACTGTGCAGCTGGCTCAAAGGATGCAGGTCCTGCCAGATCCTGGCTGGCACCCGGGTGTGTCCGTGGCCTCCTGCATCGTTGGTCATCTTAATTAGGCGCAAAAAAGCAAACTGCAAAATGCAAATGAAAAGGGCACCCGACGGCGCTCGAGAGGTGAGGTCAACACAGTCAAGCGCCAAAGGAGAGCTGTCAAAGGCAAACATTTCTGGTCAAATCAGATCCAAATAAACCGACAAACTGGAATGCTTTGGGACTCGAGAGTCCGACAATTACCCGGGCACCATGCCGATTTTCTGGTCACAGAAAGAAAACCATCTGCCCCTAAAAATCCAAAAGGGATTTCCAATTTGCATCGGTTTTATACCTTGATCGGTTCTAAGTTTCCTAGTTGATTGGACTTCCAGACCTAATGACTGCCCCTTATACTCTTATATATTCTTTAATTTCAAGGGTATTTTGTATCTGTTCCCTGTCAGAGGGTATTATTATATTGGTGAGGGAAGTATTAAAAAAAAAAAGATGAAAATGCCACTTGATTGGACATTTTATAACGAATTCAATGATTTCCCGGATTTTGGACAATTTTCATAGCCGTTAACACCATGATATTTTTCAAAAAATTAAAATTTTTGGCTGTGAATGCCACTCGATTGGAAATTTTATAATAAATTCAACGAGGTATAATATTGCAACATGCGACCATTATTTCCCAAGGTTTTGATCCAAAAACCAAAAACTTGAGTTGATTTTTTCCTGATTTTGGCCATAAAAAGATTATATTAATTAAATCAGCTTCCGTTCTATTTATTTTGTTAAATATTATAGTGTATAATCAGAATAAAATATTTCCTGATTTTTAAATAAAAATTGTATTTAACTTAGTCTGAATAATTAAATTTAAGTCCGAATAATTAAAAAAGCAGGTATAAACTGGAGATTATAACTACGTTCTCTAAAACAAGTCAAGCACTGAGACAGGTTTTAATTCCGCCACCTGTTTTACACGACCTATAAGGTACATCCATAAATTGGATTTTATTCAAGAAAGTTATCACAAATAGAAGTCTTTTAATAAGACCCACTCAAACCTTTATTGGCAGTGATTAGCGGGTATTGCATGGTCGGGCCCTTAAAACAAACCGTTCTCCCTGTGGTTTTTCCACTTCGGACACTTCAAACTAAGCTTTATTTATGGACGATCCGAGTGCAGAGAACCCCTTGTCAGAGTTATGTTAATACCTTTTCCCATGCACAAGATAAGAGCGGAGGGATGGGGAAAGGGGGACCAGGATTGCTTCCGTTTAATCAAAGCTAATTGAGAGCGTTTGGCAATTGGCGTTAACTTTACCGCTTTGACAGGCGAATAGAAATCGGCGGGGGGGAAGCGAGGGGAGGGCCACTCCCCAAACAACTGACCACAAAAATTTTCACGCGAATCGACCCCGCCCTGCGTGAATTCAGCGATTTCACCGGGGTGAAACTTTTCAACGTTTCCACTCCGCTGCCCCTCGCTTTTTGGCCGAGAACATTGAAATTAGATTAAAATGTTGAGGCAAATGCAAAATGGCTGCCAATTCGGCGAGGTGTGGGAGTCGATTCGAATTTCATTAAAACAATATCAAGCGGGTCAGTGCCTAGTCGAATGCTTTGCTTTCCTTCATGTTTTTCGCTTTTTTGTGAGTGGAAAAAGTTGGCCACCAAGTTGAAACTTCGATTAGGGGTTAGGGTTAGCCATTCGCGGAATTGGACGAAACATATTTTGAGGGATTACCATGGGGTAATGGCATTCCTCGCCGCACGCCAAATAATTGTACTTTATTTTGATGTGACAGAGGCAAAAATAGCATTGGGTATTCATTTCCAAGTTGAGTAAAAACTTTAAAGCATAATATTGTGATTTGTAAAAGGGTGGTTAAGTCTAAAGTTATAAAAAAGTGATATAACTATTTTGAAAAAGGAAGAAATAAAATAAAACAACTTTTAATATTTGGCTTTTTGCTTGTAAGTTTCATAACTTTTAATTTACAAAATTACAAAAATATTTAATCATAAATTACCGATTAAAATGTATGCTAATAAAATCGGTCTTTCTTATACTGTTTAAAATTGTTTGTTCATTTTGAGTTCAAAAGGCCCTAAAACTGTGGCACATTTGGGGGCCACCTTTTCTCAGTGCAGATATTGGACTCTTGGCCGCCGTTAGTATTTACACAAGTCGTGTGAATGAACTTGGCTGCCCGACTGAGCCAGGTCCCCTCCCTTTTTCCACGGGCTTGGCTGTGCCGGCGCCATTTATCATGCGAATCCCAGGAGAGTGCTCAAAGCAATGAAATTAAAAGCTGAATTGTTATTTTTGCGCGTTTGCCTTTTTGCTGTTTTTTCGTCGGGTCGCATCGAGTCGAAGAAAGGAGCGGGATCAAGGGGAGGAGGGAGAGCTGGAGTCCTTTGGCCGGACTGCAATGATTGGCATTTATGGCCCCGGCCCAGGAGCGGCTGCATTTCGCGGGGATGGGTGGGTGAGTTATGGCGGAGCGGCCCCGCACTCGTCACCGCTTAATTGGCTTTTAATTTTGTGTGTGGGCGCATTACTTTTCATTACGATTAGACGCTTTGCAAGCGAATCCATTAATTAAATTCCTCTGTGGAAATGGCAGTAACGGGCTGCGCAGCTATGGGGTAAATAAAATTCAAATGGCAGGGTATTTACAAGCCAAATTTGACATTTTAATGTTTGGTGACATGTGCGCGCGCATAAATGGCTTTGGGGAAATTATTAATTCCCTTCTGCCGAAAGGATTACAAGGCAAAGGCACAGGCACACCCACGCAAGTACACGTGCTCGTTTCTGAGAAATTGCGGGGTGGCAGACATAAATATCGAGTTACATTTTTGTGGCCCTCCTTAAAATGCGATCCCATATCGCCCACATTCATCACTTGTGTGTGTGTGTGTGTATGTGTGTGTAGGGGATATTAAGAAAACATTAAAATCACATTTTTAATAGATTACAAAGCGTGTGTGGGGGAGTCGACCACAAATCAGATGGAGATGAGCCAATCCCCTCCCTCCTCTCGTCGATGCACTTTTGCCAGGCGAAACAATTAGACAAAACAATCAGGGGACCCCAGCCAATTGAAGGGCAACGAGGCGTATACGTAACACGCCACTCGAGTCGCCGTAAAGGCACACACACAGATAAAGGGGGAAACTTTTCCCGGCCGGATAAGTGAACAGAACTTAATTGAAATCAATACAAAATGCAATTTAATTCGCCCTTCTGCAACTTACACACACACATATGAGCACTCACCCACATGCATTTGCCCACGAGCAGAGTTGGGCACATGCATTGCATACTTTGAGGCGCCGTTAGTTTCGGATTATGCGAGGGGAAGGAAGGGCAGAAAGGAAGGGAAAGCAGGGAAGCCGGTACTCGAGGAAGTTGTAAAGTGGGTTACAGCCAACAAAACTGAGCAAAATATAAAAACGCTTGATGTTCCAGGCAGCTGCAG